ATTAACGACCATAATCTACGTAAAATTATCGTTTGTTCATTTGTGGTAGATTCTTTTGCCAAGAGACGAAAGAAAAGTTGTTGTATAATTTCTGAAATATCCGGAGTTGACTGACGAACGTTAACCAGAAGTTCAGTCATGTCAACTAAATTTTCTTCAACTTTAATCATGCGTTCGTACAATTCATTCATTGAGGTTTTTCTGATATCCTCCTTCTTCATCTTTTTTGTCTCTTTGACTTTCTCATCTTCAACGTTAGGTTGAATGATCTTTACTCTCTTCCTTCCAGGTTCAGGATAAGTACATTCAGTCTTATGGTGACGACAGTACTTACAAGGTTCCTTTGTGGAGTAATTTCCATCGCATTTCTTCTTATCTCGTCTACAGCGATGACAAGCATTAACATTGATTCTTCCTCTCTTCTTTGCAGGCTTCCTTATCTTCTTTATGGCAGCATTCATATTAGATTGTGCCTGCCTATCACTGCAACTAAGTTCGTTATCAGAAAAGACTTTGATTGTACGTTTTTCTTGGCTCATGATTTTTTTTTTTTTTTTTTTTACTAGGTATAAAAATAATGATGAGAGGCTCTCGATTTTGTGAACGGGTCAAAAGTGAAAGGTTACGAAAGATGGATTATTTTTTTTTTTTGGAAAAAAAAAAAGAGAATAGAAAAAAAAAAGCCTTGAGAAATTTTTTTTTTCGTTTTATGTTATATTTTGAAACTTGGTAAACTAGTACCCCTTTTATATAAAAACAGTGGCGAGTATCTGGTTTGTGAAACAATGGCGTAGCAGTAAGGCTCGTGATTTGGTGTCACCAAGAAAATATCCGAACACCACAGTATGGTACACAGTAGAAGCATTGGAAGAATGACGTCGATTTCATAACTCCGACGAGCTACACAAAAAATGGATAATTTGGATAATTTTAAAACCTAATACGCGAGAACTATAATTAACTTGTGTGGCACAATATTAATCATTTTAAGTCACAGTGGCTTTATATTAGACACTCAAAATAAAATATATTATATAATCTTATTTATTTCCCAATTAAGATATGAATTAGTGAGAAAACAATATCAAAAATTAACATTCTTTATCGTTATTGGTGATTTCATCATCTGTAAAGAACGTTATTACATATCCGTTGTCAAATCTTGTTGGAATGGAAAAATACATGAACGTTCTCCGAGTGAAAAGGAACAAAGGTTCGTCAATCGTAATCTTATCTTTTTTGAACGTTGAATTGAGAAAATAGACTTTGATCGTTTTTCAGTTACTTTTTTGTCGAAACATTTTCATTCCAAAAATGGCTGTGGCTTAGCTAGATCATAATGAATCCCGTTTTTTTTTTTTTTTTTTTTTTTTTTTTTTTTTTTTTAACTGTAAAATAAAACTTTATTTTACGACAATCCCTTTTGTCGTCACACAACATAGTTTCAAGTTATCGGAAAATGATGATCTTTTTTTTTTGAATTCCAGAATGTTGCCACAGGGATTTGTCGATAGCCACCATAAAAATCTTAATATGTGGCTATATGCGTTTCTGCTTATTTCCGTGTTTTAAAAATGTTAAAAAAGGTATTTTTATTTTATTTAAAAATATACGGAGTTATTTTTATTTCATAATCGGCTTGTAATTCCGCGCCACTTCTGTTTTTTTTTTTACTTGTGGATGAATAAAAAAATATATATAAATAAATAATAATAATACGCGATAAATAAATTTTAGCATAATATCGTATTTATTCCGAATAAATAAATACTATAAATAAATAGACGATAGTGGAAAATAAGATTATGGCAATGTAATTATTTATATTTCCAATTTCCAAAAAAAAAAAATTTTTGTTGAAGGTCATTTTGAATTTACTTTAAGGGATGCATGAGTAGGCGTTATTGTCTAACTAAAGTTCTTGATAAGGTGAAAAGGCTTTGAATCTTAAACCAATTCACAAAGAACGAAACAAAGATAATCCTTCTTAGCATCTTAAATATCACGTTCTATCGGACCACCTTTTCCATATAGATTATCACGAATTCGCGTAAATGCATAATGTGAAACCTGATGACTCAATTCTTTGTCAGAATCCTGTTCTTGATCGTTTCTGGTAATATTTTGAACCAATAAATTGACAATGTTTGTTACGTTTCCCATAGTTAGTTGGAATAGAATGGTAGTGGAACAATATCAAACGATTGTACAGTTACTTGTATTTTCAGTTTTAATCAAAGAATATTACTAAATGAGCACATTTCTTACCATATCAAACCTGATGCGCATGAAATTTCTCCCCAAGTTCCGAAACTTAAATACGCGTGCATTACTTAAATATAACCAATTTCGCGAAAGTATTGTTTGTGAAACTATTTCGATATCCCTTGATAATCTTTGAGCGTTAAATGTAAATATAAATGTAGCATTCGTTGTCTTTTAAATTGTCCTCGAGTAAACAATTAATAATTTGCAATTCCTAAATGCATTCACGATTTCGTTATGATTGTTATTGTTATGATATTTTTCAGGATGTTTATCTTTCATTTACGTGTTTCTGAATAATTATTATTTTGATCAGAACGCATAGACGTTATTCTGAAGTTTTCTATGGTAAGCATTTTTTGCACATTTTGCGTAGTATAATTAATTACACACGGAATTCGTTTTTCAAGGAAAATCAATTCAATGATCAACGATGATGTCATTTGATCATTATTAGTCACTCTCAGGTAGTACCGGTTGAACCTTATTTTGTAATTGACCGCAGCATATCATTTCATTAACCTTCATCATTCGACATTCCGGACTGAAGACAGTTTTGCCAAAAATCTTATACGCGTTTAAGAAGTCTTCGCGGAAACGAAGAGTGCCTCGGCAATTTAATCCTGTTTCCCATCTATTATTAATGTTATAAATCTTCTAAATTGTTTCAAAATAAAATGGTATCACCGGCCCAATTCAATGACCGTATCTATATTTCTTGAATTCGATTTGGTTTTTTTTTTCACACATGAAATTAAGAATGTTCGACTTGATATCAATTCGAAATTAAGATTTCAAGCATAAACCACAATTTTATTGTTGAACAGCTATCTCGTGATATTAGATCTCTTTGAAAAAAAATATATATATATATCGAACGAATTATGATTTGTCAAAAACTTGGTTACTTTGATATTTTATTCAATTCCCTTATATTATGCATTATGTAATTTTTAAATAAATTAGCATGAGCGCAGTTTACATATTATTCGCAAAGTCAATTAATGTCCATAATTTTTATTGTATGGTGCTAGCTACGTGAAATTCAACAATAGCAAAATTTAACAAGTGCATAAATATATCAAAATATATCAAAATATGGTTTCGGTCATTTGAAAATAAATAATGTCTAATTTATCAGAATCTATTGGGTAAAACATAATAGAAAGGGGGAAAACTGCCGAGAAAAATAAAAATGAGTTAATGTTAATTCTCGGCCTGAAAATCATATTTGGCATATAAAAATAAATTTTTATTTTTATTTTCGGCAGTTTCCCCTTTCTATTGCAAATTGTATCGGCCACATTTTCAAGTCCAGTTATTTTTCGACAATAAGTCCAGTTAATCAATTTGTTAACACAGATTGCGCATCAACGTTAATTATATTAAAGGAAAGGATCGTTCTTAATGCATTATGAAAATTGTCCAAATAATTTTGGCCGATCGTCAACTGGCTAGACACTTTTCTAAACAAAGAACTGATCTACATTAATAATAAATTCTTTTTATATCACTTATCTCTTTTTTTAAACGTATTAGATATTTTTAAATTATCTGTATTTTCTATAAATGATAATTATTTATAGATTTGTCACACATCGAAATGATTTACGCCAAATTAAATATTATTATTAGCTGATAGACTTCAATGCACGGTATCAAAAGAGGTTAAAATATATACAATAAAAATTAAGAATGCGAAGCATATAAACGGTATTGATTAAATCAAAAGATATTATAAATATACAAATAAATTCATATTACTGGCAGTACTCGAAAGTGAAATTAGTCATCATATCTTATCAAAAAAAAAAAAAGTTTTCGAAATAGTTTTTATCATGAATAATCATTTCGGTTATAATAATTTATCATAAAATTAATTCCGTGTAGTTATTATAAATTCGGGAATAGTTTTATCATGAATAAAATTATATTATCATAAAATTAATTCCGTATAGATGTTATAAATCCAGGAATTCGATCGGTTATACTTACTATCGATTTCTAATTTGCGTTTAAACGGTGGTCCCAACATTAGTGTAACATTCAATTTTTATTAATAATATCTTTTCATACGGGTTGTGCAAAATTAGTCTTGCTACTAGAAATTTCTTTTTTATTGAATTTGTAATTCCGTCAAGATCTTGCTTAGTGATTAAATTTATAACTGGTTAACCAAGTTTGGTTAACCGCCAATCGGGCTAATTAATACTGGTAAATATTTGGTTAAACCGATTAAACAATTACCCGATTAACCGCAGTTAAAAAATAATTAAGGGATTATTTAGACTTTCTTGTGGAAAAAAAGTCTTTAAAGTAAATTACTCATTCTTGATAAAAGCCAAAATATAACTTTTTAAACCCCAATTATAATTGCAATGACAGCGAATATATCGAAAGTGCATATATTTTACATAAGTGCATTGAAAGAAATTATTTGTAAGGATAAATTTCCGTTGAAATTAACCGGTTCCAATACCAAATTTGTTTATTAATCTTTGTTTAATTAAATGCATAGTAATATGACAATAATAAATATTTTAAAGTCGCATGCTGATAAAATTAAATTCTTCAAAGAATTAAATCTTAATAATACTTAATCGAATCCAAATTTTGTAATCATAACAAACTATGTGGTTGGAATTATGGCGCAACTTGCAGAAGCAATGTTAAAGATTTACATTTATTGGTTGCCAAATTATTAAAATTGCATTGAGATCCTACCACGAGTCCTATCAATATGCAGTACAACCCATTTTTGTCTTATCAATTTCCATCTCTAATTTCACGTCTTCGGTAAGCTGGGTATTCGTTATTTGCTTGAATGATTTCTTAGGATAATTACAGAAATTATAATGATGTTATTTTGTTTCTGATAATACCATTTTATAAATTTTATAACAAAAAAAAAAATTCCAATTGCATTTACCATCATTATCACATGAATTATCACAAAAATCATTGTTGTATTTGAAGATGTAGATTTAACTATCAACCAAAGCATCATTAATAAACGTGAAGTTTTATTTATCAAGAGTCGATAAATTTTACTTTACATATTTATCCAAATGGATTTTTGAATAATACAGTGAAGAACGGAATCTGCCTAAAGAGAATTTATTAAATTTTTTTAAAATAAAAAAATTACCATTTCTGATATCTACTATTCAAATCAAGTTCGGATCGTCAAGGAATCATCCGCGGAATTTCCGAGCATTCCTTATGAATGGAATAGCCTTTAGAGAATTTTCCTTCATGAGAAATGCTTCTTATTTGAATAAGTTTTTGCCTTTATGAGGTTGTTTAGCTGTTCAAACCTTATCTGGGCGAAGTTTTCCTGCTGTTGCTGGGCAGATAATTTTTATCAAATTATTAGTCAACTACGCCCTGACCCTAAAAAGTAAAGGATAACTCGTTAAGATATAAGTATATAAATTCAAGAAATAAATAAAGTCGAAGACAAAGTAGGGTATCCACTTCAATAAAAAATATATATATATATATTATTTGCCGAAAACAAAGAAATGTAATTGAATTTAACTTATTTGAGATCAAGAAATTTTTTTGTAGTTAGAAAAAGATAAATCAAATGTGATATAATATAATGTATCAAAAGAAATGAAAATATTTTTAAATTAATTAGTATATCTGCAAGTAGAACAAGACAAGGAATTAACTATTAGTATTTAGTCGACTCTGCACATGACTCTGAACCGTGACTGAAAGTCGCTGATTCAAATTTTATATAATTTCAGACATCGCGTATTTCTCAATTAAATAAAAGTTTCAAATTTTAGACGAATGGGGTTCAATTCTGGAGAAAATTTATAATATTAGTTATTTTTAATTTTTTTTCATGCTAATAATAAAATTATTTCAAGTGAGAGTCGCGACTCAGTCGTTTTCTGAGTCGAAAAGGGTCTAACGACTGGCTGAGTCGACTTTAGAACTTTCCACGGTTGTTACTATTATTTAACTCTACATTCCATATAAAGTCATAAATTAATCTAATTAATCTTTAAAAACAAACTATCACCCCTTATCAATTTATTATTTTAAAAATTTGTGAAATTTAAGCGAGGGTTTTAAAATTGGTTCTCTTATTTCTACTTATGTTTACAATTGATAGCAAGTGACCTAAATGACCTCAAATGACTCAACATTAAATGACAAATGACCAGGTCATTTAAAATTATATCATGTGATCTCAATAATTATGGCCAAAATAATTATGTTTCCGAACGTTTTCATAAATATTTCAGGTGATATAAATTTGTAATTCTGGCCAGCATATAAAATTTGGCCTGTATTACATATAAATGACCAAACGACAAATGACCTCAAATGACCAGGTCATTCGAAGGTCATTCGAAGGTCATTCAGAAATCATTTCAAAATCGCCAAATGACCTGATCATTTGCCATCACTGCTCGAAAGATATTATCCCTTTTGATGGTAAATTAACTTTGCAACTGATATTTAATATATAATCCTTTTTACGTGATCAATACTATAAGCATATTTTCTAACATTTAATGTATGATGTAAATATAGAAAATTTTAACAATTTTTTTTGTCAATATTCGCATAACCATGCGTTTGATGAAAATATAAAAACAGAAACAATTAAAACAAAAATCAATAATTTTTTTTTTTTGACTTTGCATCAAAAATCAAAAATACAATCATTTAAAATTTCAAGTATATTATTATTTAAGTTTATTATTTAATATAACCTTATTTAGAAACATCTATAAAAATAAATAGTATTAAGTGAAATTTAATAAATAAAAAAAAAGAATTTTTTTCTTTTGATCTTTCCATTTTTATAGAAAGAAAGATATAATCAAATAAAATGAAAATAAGTATAGTAATTGTAATAATAGAAAGACATATATAAAAGAATAAAGAAATTATAAATTTACTTTTTTATTTATTCAAAAATTTTTAGATATTTATCAAATAAAGTAAAAAAGAAAAAAGTATAAATATTGTATTTAAAAGTAGATAAAAAAATAAAGTAATTAATACATTTGATAGTAAACATTTAGTTCCTTATAATAATATATATATATATATTTTATAATAAGAAGTATATATATAATAAAAGATATAATTTATTCAATTTATTAATTCAATTAGATTATATAGTTACATGAATTAAATATCTATATTTAACTATAAATAACTAGAAAATATCTTATAATTACAAGTAAAAAAAATATCAATTATTAAATATTAATTAATATATTTTTTAATAAAGCAACAAATGTTTTAATAGATTGAGTTTTTTCTGGTAATATTAATCTAATATCAACCAAAAGATGTAGTTTTAAAACTAATACAATTTGTATATATATGTGAATATCTTAAAGTAAAAAAGATAATATAATTAGAATTAATAAATAATTAAAATAAAAAATAAAAATTAAAAATAAATAACATTAAAAATTTTTAAATGACTGATACTTTTTTAATAAATAAAATATATTATTTTTAATTGTTTTATTATCAGTATTAATATTATTAAAATTCTTAGTTAAGTAATAATCAGATTAAGTAAAATCTAATTGAATATAATCAGATTAAGTTAAATTCAAGATCTGTAATTATTAATAATTTAAGTTCAAATATATATCTAACTTAATCTGATCCTTATAAAGCATTATACCAGTTAACTTAAATTAGAAATAATAATAAATAAAATTATAATAAAATTTTTTTATATTTATATAAATTAATCTTAAATATAAGAATTTTCAAATTTTCATATTTTTAATCAAATTTTTCAGTTTTAATTTATATTGAATTAACTTAAACCTAAATATTTGATTCTTAGGTAAAAATTATTATTTACTAATAGAAGTATAAGTTTATTAAATTATAAAATAAATAAATATAAGTTAATTAAGTTAAAGAGTCAAATTATCATTATTGATAATTTATGTTTAAGAAAAATTAAAAATAGTAAGAATATAAGTTTTAGATTATTAAAGATTATATTTTATTAATAAATATAAATTGAAATTCATCACTTTATTAAAATAATGATATATGATATTTATATAAAATAGTCATTAGTAACTCTTTAACATGATCATGTCAAAAAATCACTGATGACTTAGATCAGGTTATGAAGATAACTTTATAATTTAATGGTAACTTCATAATCTAATATAACTCATAATCTAATAGTAATTACATAATCTAATAGTAATTTCATAACCTAATTATATAACTTAATGATAACTTCATAATCTAATTACATAACTTATTAGTAACTCCATAACCTATTGGTAATTCTATAACTCAAATTTCAGATTCCTTTTTACTCTTTTAGCTATTATTTTATTTAGTTCCTACTATATTATTTTAGCATAATTCTTTAATCTAATAGTAACTTAATAATTTAATAATGACTGTATCTCTTTGATCTAATGGTAACTTTATAACTGATTTACTATATTTTTCTTCCTATCTTTAGCCTTTTTAGTATTAAAGAAGTATTCATCTATTTATATACTTTTATAGCCTTTTTATAGTAAAGAACTATCTATTTATTTATCTCCTTCTGAGTCTTTTTGGTTATTTGTTAGAGTATTAAGAGGTTCTTTCCTTTTACATCTGTTTGGCACTCTTTAGGATTCAAAATGATATAAAAAAAGGTGTTAAGTAGTATAATAATTCAATATAAATCTGCGATTAATTTTAACTGATACTATGACATAATTTTTAACTGATTTTTAGAATATATAATCTAAAGAATTACTATGGTAGTGATTTGGTAGTATCTAGAACTCTCATAAAACTATTATAAAACTGACAGAAAACTAAAGTTACAGTTCTAAAAAAAATAATGAAAATTATATTTTTATTTATTGTATAACAAATAAAGGTCAAAAATATATGAAAAATTTATAAAAAGTTGTTTATCATACTATAATTATATTCTAAAAAATTATTTAGTAATCTGCCTTATTACTATTTCATTTGATTACCTGTTCTAATCTCAATGGCATGCTACAGATTAAATTAATGAAAATTTTAGACTCAACTTCCTCCCATTTTTTTTTAAATTATCTCATAAAAAACATCTATAGTAATTAGACTTTTTTTAACCACCAGTTTGTTAACCTTTTTCTCTATATAGCTTTTCATTATTTTTCATAAATTTTCTATAGAGTTGAGATTGAGGCTGTTTGATAGCCAGTCTATTAACCTCAAAATTAGTATTGTCAAAGAGATTTTCCTTTAAAATTTCACAATAAAAAGCACTATCTATATTTCTAGTAAAAAGAAGGATACCAATTTGATCTTTGATTGAAAATGCATTTCACATATGAACTTTGTATGAATGTTTTACCATAGGCTTTTATGGAGGTTTTGTATCAACTTTGTAGAATACTTTTGAGTATTCCTAAATATCTGAAATGTAACTTCGTCAGAAAAAATGACTTTATTCCAGTTTTGATTTTTATATTTGTAACAAATTCAATATGCTTCTATTTGTATTTGTTTGTAGAAAAGGATATAGATTTTAGAACTTTACAAATATAATTAAGATCATGAAACTCATTAAGTACTGTGCGATCAGTTATATTAAGGTTAGTATACTTGACATTTAAATATTTGCAAGCTCAGTATATGTTGAGAGTTTATTTATTAAAATAAGCTGACTAACATAATGACGTTTTTTAGAAAAAAGTTTCTTTAGTCTTTCAGGTTGAGGTAAAGGATTTAAAGTAGTATTTTTTTTAAGTTTTTTGATATATTTATAAATAGTAGAAAGAGGAATAGAAGTTAGTTTATGTAAAGTATAGATGTCGTAAGTATCATTTTTCCACAAAGAGGATATTATAGTATAGCATTATTTTAGTGTAACTTTTTAAGTTTTTTTATTACATTTTATTCTCATTACATTTTTTGAGAACTGTATAATATGAAGAGCAATATATCACCTAGGATTACTCACAAACAAGTATTATATATTTATATCTTATTATT